TTGACGGTCTGGGAGCGAATCAAACTGTGAATGAATTGGAGTGTGAATGACTCTCGATAGTATTAGTGCGTCTCTGCGCATGAGCCTAGGGGCCTCGTGGAGCCTCTTGGGGCCTCCTGTGGCCTCTTGGGGCTTCCTGTGGCCTCCTGAATTCTCCTGGGGCCTCGTGTGGTCTCCTGGGGCCTCTTGGAGCCTCCTGGGGCCTCCTGGGACCTCTTGGGGAGGATCCGTGCCCCAGGAGGGGCCCACTCTATAGGGAAAGACGTACATAAAACAGCACGGATTGGAGCCGCAGGAGAAAGGCACTCTATAGGAACACACGTAAATCACAAAGGACTCGTGCCCCAGGGGAGGCCAAATCTGTAGAAGCACACGTAAAACACGAAGGATTCGTCCTCCAGGAGGGGCTCAATCTATAGGAGCCTACGTACAAGACATGAGATTGTAACCACTCCTGTGGCCTTCTAAGGCCTCCTGCTCCTGGGAAATCTTGGGGCCTCCTGGTGCCTTCCGGGGCCTCCTGGCGCTCATGTGGCCTCCTGTGGACTCCTGTGGACTCCTGGAGCCTCCTGGAGCCTCCTGGAGCCTCCTTGGGCCTTCTGGGGCCTGCTGGAGCCTTCTGGAGCCCTCTTGTGGTCTCCTGTGGCGTCCTGCTACATCCCTGGTTCGTCCTGTGGCCTCCTAGAGCCTCCTGGAGCCTGCTGGAGCCTCCTGTGGCATCCTGAAGAGGATCCGTGCCCACGAGTCTGGCCAGCTAAATATGCAAACTGCTCGAGACATCCTCAACATCTGGCCCCCCTTGGGGGCGAAAATGGGCGCCTCGCTCGAGACATCCTCCGAATCTGCTCCGAAAGCGGAAGATGTTGAGTAAGTAAACCAGCAAACCGCTCGAGCCATCCCCGCCATTGTGGCGCGAACGGAAGCCGTGAAATACCCCTGGCGGCTCCCCCTTGGGGGCGTTGAAATCTGCGCCTCGCTCGAGACATCCTCCAAATCTGCTCCGAAAGCGGAGGATGTCGAGCTGGTAAATAGGTAAATCGCATGAGACATCCCCGTCATTGTATCGCGAACGGAAGCCGTGAAATACCCTTTGCGGCTCCCCGAGACATCCTCAGAATTTGCTCCGCCAGAATCATCATCATCAGCAGCATCATCATCACCACCATCATCATCAGCAGCATCATCATCAGCATCAGCATCATCACAGCATAGCATAACATAGCATAACCTTGCATAACGTAACATACTATTACATAACATATCATCCGGGGGAGGAGGAGAAGGGAGGAGGAGGAGACGAAAGGAAGGTCCACGCGGTCACAGTAAGAACAATTACCCCATCCTCTGGATATGGGGAATAGTGAGACACCCATCCTTTGATTATGGCGAATCATAAAAACTTCAAAATCCAAAACTGTCATTAAAGATAAAACCAAAATAACATGAAAATCGTCCCCTGACTATTTTTCACTGCTTGGGAATATTCCTCCCGTGGAGTTGCGTGCCCGACTTACCCCTATCCTGGGGGAGGCCGCCCAGACGCCGTCGACTCGGGCGGGGGGGCCTGTGGCTCGCGCCGCGTCGCCGGCGCACCGCCGATGCACCGGCGATGCATCCGCGACGCGCCGGCAGCGCACCGGCAGCGTCGGCGTCGGCGTCGGCGAAGGCCTCGGCGTCGGCGTCGGCGTCTGGCCGCACCGAGCCGAGGCGAGGCGGCGAGGCGGCGCGATCGAGCGGCCCCCGCCCGCCTGCCTCGGCCTCGTGCGGGCGGCCCGGAGCCCGCCGGGGCCTCTCCAGGCCCAGGCGCCAGGTCGAGGCATCGACCCTCCTCCTCCTCCTCCTCCTCCTCCTCCTCCTCCTCCTCCTCCTCCTCCTCCTCCTCCTCTCCAGGAGAGCGGGCCTCGCGACTCCTGGCGTGCCGGCCAGGCGCCGCGGCCTGCGCGAGCCGCCAGCGAGCGCGGCAGGCCGCAGCGGAGACGAGTGCGCTTGCGCGCGGCCTCACGCGGGCAGCGTACGCTGAGGCCGGGCATGTCTTCCTTACAGCCGGAGTTCGAAGGAACTAAT